TTAACAAAGAAAGCCCAATTCTAAATAAAAGACAACTAATAAAATAAAATACTAGATACGAAGACGATCATATTTATTTAAAAATGCTATCGCGGTCTCGTCTCCATCATCTTCTTAGGACACTCTAAAGCTTGTAAATTCAAGTTTGTCTTTGCTTACGGATAACAATGACAATTCTAATACTTGAGCACATTTTAGGAGTTCCCAGCATTAAAAAGTAAACATCACAAACAAGACCAAACTCAAAGCAGAAGGGGTATAATGTTGAGGATTTACTAATCCAAACGATAAACAGAAGAAACCAACTTACTGCAATCTTGAGAGGAAAGAACACTGGAGGACTTTCATTGCCATTGGCTTGAAAGGCAGGAAAGCCAGACTGGCATCCACTCCGTTCCGTAAATATAAGCAAAACGTTAAACCGGTAATAACAATTTATTGAACTCCATCAAAGTTATATATTATGGTGTAGGTACCTCCATAACAAGTAGTGAATTTGGATCCCCACACCATCCCCGGAGCAAATTAACAGCAGGTCCAAGTCGTAGACTCCAATGGGGACAGAATACTATGCAAAGTTCCTGCCAATTTTTTCTGTCTTCATAATCTCAGCAAGCAATGTAATCATTACAAGCAAATCATAACACAAAAAATTATCATCTCAATGTTGGGCCTATTTATTTCTTAGGAATTTAGAATTCAAATCCTTCTCCAAAGAAAAAATGAAAGAAAATTGTACATTATCTCTACAAAAGTTCATAAACAATTTTTAAATTGACTTTTTCTAACTTCCAAAATGGGGATTTTCTTTAGATCCAATCACATCCAATATCCAACAATAAACAGAAAATATAAAAATTCTGAGATTCTAGAAGGAGCAGCTGCTTATCACATGCAAGGGATTCATATATCTTACAAAAGTTCGGCAGAATGGATGGCAGGAAACAAATGAAGCCTTCCATCTTTTAGCATCTCGGAATGAGCAAATAATTGTTGACCACAGTAGAGCTGTAATAATGGAACAAGGGGAAACAAATTTGCAACCACAAGAATAGTACGATGGATTAATCATTTTTTGCTGCTAATCCAGTTACCAAGAGAGTGAGAACAATTTGAGCTCATACATTAATAAAGAAAATAGAAAAAAAAAGAGAGATTACTCTTTCTGGAGTCATCCATCAATGTAATTCCTTCAAAGCCAACTTACATGATGATGATACTACATGAACCTATTTGATAAGAACTCAAATATTAGCAGAGTCCAGAAACCAGAAGACAATACTAAATTAACCCACAGTGGAATCTAATTAATGTGAAGTTAAGGGTTTTCACCTGAGGTTGACCATGTCGGCAGGGGATGGATGCTAGAGATCTCATCATCATCAACCCCATCAATGGTCGATATGCACTCGATGCTTGATTCCATTCCTAAAACAAAAAAGAAAAACAAAAAAAAAAAAAATTACAACCTTTCCTCTTTCCCCTTCTCCACTTGTGGAACCGGTACGACTGAGGTGAAGACGAAACGCCGTCGGCTTTCTTGCCGTTGGGAATGCCAGAGAATCGCTCCTCCCGCCCAGGCTCATCACAGGGTCTCACGCAGCCGGGTTATCGAGGAATAGAAACTGGTAATCGTCACCGAAGTTATCCAGAACGTCGATACCGTACTGGACGTTCTAGATAATTGATTTTCAATGTATATGAAGTGTTGTGCAGCACGAATGGCCTTCACATATGCTGTATGAATGCTCATGTCTATAAGAACGTTCTTTCCACATACCAAGTTCTGTATCATATTATATAACAATCAAAACATTGTAAGGTTATCAAAATATTGTAAGGTTAATAAAAAAATTAAATCCAAAGACCGAAAATGAAACTCGAATTTAGACAATTTGTCATTTTTACTATATTATTCTTACCAGCAGTGTCCCCTCTTTAGGATCCTTTGGAAAGCTTTGATAGAGTTCTGAGTCAATCGAAAGGAAAATCTGAAAAATCGAAACAAATTATGAAAAATATTTATTCTTTCCCCACATTTAAAGTTCAGAAACCAAAAAAACAATTTTTTTTTTTTACCTGGCAATGCCAACCCTCTTTCACAATGATCGTCCATCTCCTTTTTTCTCTGCCAGAAGTGGCGTGTCGCTGAAAGCAAAGAATTCTGTCGCTGATATAGAGCACCCAGATTTTACGCGCAACAAATCCACGGAACAGCAAAAAAGATATGTCTGTCTTACCAGATTTCTATCTTTATGCATAAAGTGAAGTGGCATTTTAGTAATTGGTGGGAGAAAGTAAAGGCATTCTTGAGTAGAAATAAGGCTAGTGTGAAGACCTTAAATAAACCAGTGGCAGATAAGTAAAAAAAGTGCTCAAGCAAGGTCCTTTTAGTCAGAAAAAGACACGTGTCAACACCAAAATAGCCCTTCATTGTTGGGTTATATGTATATGTATATATATATATATATATATATAAAGGTTAATCATTTATTAAATATACTATAAATTATACAAATGAATTATTTCTCTAATAAATAAATTTTATTTATCTAATTTAATAAAACTATTATTCATAACCGATTTAGGAAAAGTATTAAAACATTAAAATCTCCATTTTACATACCCGTCTATAAATAAAATCAACTGTTTCAATAAAGATATCAAAGTGGTAATGATGTTTAATTGTCTATAAGTGAAGTCAATCGTTTCAGTAAAGATATCAAAGTGGTAATGATGTTTAATTGTGGTATGTCCACAATAACGGTCAACCTTATAAAAATCATCTAAGTTTGTAATATCAATACCATTTTTCAAGCAAAAATATTTAACATCCTAAAAATTCTCTAAAATATACTTCATTAAGTGATTCTAACAAGCACTATTAAAACCTTAAATAGACCAACTAAAGGCTTAATGACATGATTGGTATGAGAGAATGACATGAGAATAGAATGTTCATTCTCTTACTCATTCCTTATCCCATGATTTGTATGTTTTTGAAAAAGAATGATCATTCCAATGAGAATTGCAAAATAAATCTCCGTGAGATTAACTATTTCATAACTAATGCAAAGTTTTTCTCATTCCTATATGTGTAGGAATCATTTTAAAAAAAAAAAACAAAATTAACAAATAATAACAACAAATAAATATATAATATATACTATAAATCATGATTAAATTATATTAAATAAAATAATTCCAAAAAATAAATTTCAAATAAAAATTAAAAACTTATTTTTATTCATTGTTCATATTTTAATTAGATATATTAAATACTTATACAACAACAACAACAACAACAACGACAATAACCGTTAAAAGATCATTAAGTGGGGTCGACTATATATAGATCGCATGTCGCTATCGTGCTAGAACAAAACACACATCTACATTCAAATTTAAATATTTAAAATTAATTTTTATTATTACCTTCCATATTTTCTTAAGTCTACTCTACACCCTACCACTTTTGATTTGCGTTATTAATTCTAATATTTCTAAGTCTCTCCTATGCACATGTCCAAACCATCTTATATGAAAATAAAACAAAAACAAAATATACATTTATAAATAATTTAAAAAAAATATTATTTTATTTCTATACATCATATATATTATATACTTATTCATAAAATAAATTACAATATCAAAAATTATATTCGACTACATATGTTCATACGGGCATATGTAATGCTATATTTGCATTAGCTAATATATATATATATATATATGTAATTAGTGAATGCACAATTCACTAATTTATTATATAATATATATGAGAATAAAAATAAAATAAAAATATTTGTTAAAATATAGTATTTAAAAAAATTATTATTATCATAAATAAAAAAATAACATTAATATAAATATTAACTTTTTTCTATAAAATAGTGATAAATGATAATACAGAATGGTATTGTCATTCCATTCAAGTCTTTTTCCTTCTGTATACTAAACACATCAATGGAAAGCTGGTTTCATTACTTTCTCATATTCATTCAATTCTTCAACTCATTCCGTTCTATCAAATTCTATACTATTATACTTTTCATCTCTTTAAGAGGCTAACCCCTTTCACTTCATCCCTTTCATCACTCTCTTTCTGGGCAAAATCTGTTGTACTCTCCAACCCCCTTTTCGAACTCAATTCCTAATAACCCATTACTCAAATTAGTCCAACAGATTTCAATCAACTCGGAGCTGATTAGAAAACAAAAATGGCGAATTCTAGCACATACGATTTCTTCAAGTTAAATGCTCAATGTCTGAAACTCGATCTGTCGAGCAACTCATCGCCCTCCGTCGACCCTCGGTTGTTCTGCACCTTGCAGGCCCTCGGCGGCCACCAGAACACGCACGAGCAAGAGAGAGTCGCCACCAGAAGATCCCTTACGGCCGCCGTCGGATTCCCCCGCCATCCGTCCGCCACAACCTTCGAGATCGACGGGGTCCACAAAATTGGTCGATTAACAAAGAAGATGAAGGGACGGTGTTGCTGTTTTACGAAGAAGAAGAAAGAAAAGGGGTTAGGGTTCTTTCTCTTGCTGCTAACACAAAATAACGAAAGAAATGAAAAAGAAATGAGGTTATTTTTGTAAATGTAAATAAAGATTAGACATTAGAGTGGGATAACACATCTCACCTCATAGATGGGTTGCACAATACTAAAAGTTGTTAATAATTAACCGGGCTCTTCCATTAATGGGCTAGGACTGTCCGAACCGAACATCTTTATAGACATGGAATAATAAAAATAGGTAGAATATCAAGCCCAATCCGATCAACCAAACTGATTCTAAATAACTTAAACGTCAACGGTCTTATTTATGGTTTCTACCATCTTTATAAATTTTAAGTAAGCGTAAATATGTTCTAAAAACATATTATAAAGATTTTTGTGTGAACCAATATGATGCAATTGTCATTAAAAAAAATAATGGAAAAATGGCATCAGATAAAAATGAAAGGAGTCAATATCCAAGAAAGTCATTAAACAGCGCCAAACTCGATATGGAGCGCGAGTATGGGCTGGGCCCTCCTCATCGGTATAAGTATAACTATTCCGTTCATTCTGGGCACCTATTCTGTTGGGCCCTTCATTATCCCTTCAATATATGGGCTAATTCTGGAAATTTTATTTGGATAAAAGTCTTGTGGTAATAGCTAAGCACATACTAAGCAATGGCAAATTGACTACTAAAATAAGGACAAAAAACAAAAATGAAGAAATTAAGGGATAAATATTTTAAAAGTAAGGTGAAATCATTTAGCACATATGCAGTTTTGCTATGGAGCTATCGGATGGCTCGACTTATGGAGTCATCCACATTTATTCACCAATTGTGTATTGACACGTGTCTTGCAATAAATACAATTTGAACATGTGTCAATACATTAAGTTGTGGATAACTTGGCTCCGTAAGAAAACCATCCGATGACTCCATAGAATTTTTGTCAAGACATATAAACTTATCTTCATTACATCGAATAATTCACAGTTGAGTGAAAGCTCACCTAGTTTTTTCTTCAATCTTTGCAAGTTTCACTCTCTGGCCAGACGTACAGTAAAGAAATTTGTATTTAGTTGGTTACTTAGAGTCTTGGATATATATTATTTTGAAAAAAAAAATAAAAAAAATAAGTCAAAGTGATGACAAAATGGAACAAACTAAAAACTAAGCTGTGAAAGTCTAAAGTGGAAATGATGGTTGAATATGAAAATGGAGAAGAAAAGGGTACCCTTTTGGTTGCTTCAGGAAACAGTAATTAAAAGTAAATTATAGTTCTGTTGAAAAACTGATGATATATGTTGTCCCATGATTAGACTTATTTGCTGCACTTGGGGACTTTAATTCGCTTATATCATCAGTCCTCTAGTGCCATTTTTATTATTTGTTACACAACTTTCTAGTAGTGACACTGAAAAATCAAACTATAATTTCAAAATCTACATTCTAAGTTTGGATTATAACTTGTTTGAGATAATTATAGCCGGCAAAATGATTGATGTTGCGAATAGTAAGTAGGTTTTTATTCTCATTCGATCTTAAGTTCGGATTATAACTTGTTTGAGATAATTATAACCGGTAAATGCTTGATGTTGCGGATAGTAAGTAGAGTTTTGTTCTCTTTCGGTCGTTATCTGGTGTTGGCCACAGTGAAGGATGATTGGATTCGGTTCGATTTTCTAAAATCTGTGTAATCAATAGACAATAAGAATGTTAGATCTATGTAGTCAATAGAAAGTAGGAGTGTTGAAAGTCCCAAGTATGAGTTTATTGCTTCTATGATCCAATTTCTCTTTGTTGGTCAACCTGGGGGTCGGTACTTCTTGGTGTAGAGAGGCGTGGTTGTTGGTAGTCGGGAAAGGCTAAAGCTATGTTTGGTAAGCCAATTAAGATAGCTCATAAGCTCAATGTATTCAAATAAGCCTCGTTTGGTAGGATGGACTTTTTAAAAAAGCTCGAGTTTATCTCATAAACTACTTTTGGTAGCTTTCAAACAAGCTAGTTGAATTTTTTATATCAGTTAGCTTATCAACTAAATTTACAAAACACTTTTATCATATAAGCTAGTTTTTCAGCTATAAATCATAAGATATAAGCTATAAGCTCAAAAATTACATATAAGCCATAAGCTAGCTTATTAGCTATCGGCTAGTTTTACCAAACATAACCTTAATCCTTTAGTATTACGTTTTTAGTCTTGTTTGTTTGGCCCTTGTTTTGTGTTGCGGTTTAGTGTTTTTTGTTTGTTATGATCAATCTTTTGTGTTATTCTTTCTGTTTGGGGCGGATAAGACTATCTTTATCCCCAACCCAACCCAATCCAACTTAACAATTCCGTCTGGCCTAATAGAATATTGATTTAATTCCGTCTGATGCAGATTTTTTAGTTTGTTGTGTGTTTTGTTTTTT